CTCTCTCTCTCTCTCTCTCTCTCTCTCTCTCTCTCTCTCTCTCTCTCTCTCTCTCTCTCGCTTTCCCTCGCTCCCCCTCTTTCCCTCTCGCCCTCTCTCTCTCTCTCAATGTGTATTGATAGGCGACGTGGCCTTTTGTCGGGGCTAAGTTTCGGGTGTACCAGACATTGGGACTAAATAGATAATGTTTTCTCTTCCTGCCGCCCCTGGGTCCTTGTCTGCTTATTCAAAACAGGCGGAGGAGAGACGATCTAGCGCAGAGGACGCGGAACGAAGCCGCGCAGGTCAGAACACTATCGAGACCTTCCTGAGCTCGTCGGTAACGGCCAAGAGGAACGGCATCTTCGCCCAGGTTCAGGAGGAGAGGTACGAAGGTGCAGAATGTACGACATGTGTTCACATGCAGGTATTTCTACGGCTTTTGCCGTGAAGCTTGCGAGGTGTTGTTGGTTCCCCACTTCCAACTCCCGGCCTACATTGGGCAACTTCAGATACCACTTGCTTGAAACGACTTCGCGATTCGTTGTTGAGATGAATAGTTTTTCATGTAACATGACTAGCGGGGCTACCCTAGACTCCCAACGGTTGCATGTATCGACTGGTCGGGCTGTTGTGATTGGGCATCTATTACCCCCAGACAAAGGGTTTGGTATTGAAAGTATTAGTTCGTCCGAGAACCATGACAACATGGTTGGCGGATGGAATTCACCAGGAGGAGTGGAGTTGAGATCACGAACTCCTGTGCGCTTGCCAGTAACTGTTGGGTCAAGGAAATCACGGTAGCCTATCGAGTACGCACCGAAAAAGCGCGAGACCTCGTTTTCAAGTCCTGCAAAGGTCATAGAGGCGCAATCCCATCGAAAGTTGTTCGCCAGAGCTCATATGTTTTTATTCCCTGCCGCGATCCTGGAAGATAGGGAACGTGTATCCCCTGGAGTAGGGGGACAAGGTCGAAAAGTGCGTTCGCAACTCTGAAAACTAGCAAGCAAACTTTCGGAAGTGCCTCAACCTGGGACAACTGGCTATGCGTGTATCAATCGAGAAACGAACGACCAAATGATCGAAGGCGATCCGGCCCCGCCGAGTCCCCCCTGCTCCTGTGCCGGCAACAGTCACCGACTCTCGCCGACACTATCGGTCGTCACAAACGGAGCCCCGTGCTAGCTAGGCTGATGTGTCCATCGATAGGCCCCTCGGCGCGCACTTCGACAGCACTCCATCTTTCCATACTTCCTTTGTGCTCCGCGAATGAACGTGAAGGGCTAGCATGCTAGCTGCAAGAGAGGCAGAGGTCGAGCGTTGCGATCTGTTTCGAAATGAGATGATGGGTGTGCAACACGAGGTAGACGAGGAGGCCAAGAGAGTGGCCGCCTCGCTGAGAGAGTGGAGGGAAGAGCAAGAACAGCAAATCAAGGCAGAGGTAACAAAAAAACGGGTGCATATAGTAGAAAGAAGAGGAGCAGAGCATGAATTCATCCATGACACGGGGGCCTGTACATTTTTGCTCTATCCCATCTACGCATTCTCCGTGGTCCACGATTTCGCTATCCATTTCTATTCGCTTTTTGGTAATATCGTTTCCCTCATCCCGCACACATGTTCGTTTCACCAGCAGTGGAGTGGTTTAACGTTGGTCCCGGGCTGATGCGTAGGTGGTAGGTCCAAAACTCGGACATGGTAACTTTAAGTAGGTGGTTGCCGTCCGTGGTTTGAATAATGTCGCTACAACGGATTCAAAGCAATCTCTTTTGGACTCTGAGAACTCTTTTTGCAAGGCTTCATGATGCACACCACGCTGGTAGTCTTTGAGGGCAACCGACGTCCTTGGAGATAGAATAGGAGAAGGCGGAAGGGAAGCGCATATTTACAATGCGAAGAGGCAAGCATCATGTTGTGTTCGCCCAATCCCAATGCCAGGTATCCTTTGCAATATCTTCCTTCGCGGAGGAAAAGGCGAGAGCGGCCGACCGAGAAGCCCTGCTCCGAGAAATGCTGCTCACCGAGAGAGACAAGGAGGACAGGTAGACTAGTGCATTTGCCTATAAGGGCCGTATTCGGGACAAGATCAATCAGGAGGAATAGCATTTGGCGGGCCTTGTCCCGTGGAGTCCTTAACTCGAATCCTAGCCTTCGTCTTCCGTCCACTCTATCTGATGCCATCATCCCAAAAACGTTGTACTGAGTATTCACTATGGCTTCTGGTCACCGTCACGGTGAATACCGAATATCGACTCAGGGTAATACCGAACGACTTTCAAGCCTTTCCACGACCGCCGCGCGTTGATGTGTACACCTCGACCTCTGTTTTTTCCCCACCAAAAGGTTGCTCGAAGCCTGGCTCCTACGCCAAGAGCGCGAAGGCTGCGCCACTGTCAATTCGCAACTCTTGGAGGCCCGCAAGCAGCTGACAGAGGACAGGGAACGATGGGTTAACGATATTGTCGCCTCAATGTCCGAAACTGCCGGAAATGACACGGCGTTTTTCCAGAGTCCGCACGCTTGGGGTAGAAGCGGGACCTCTCACGACACTATCGCCTCCGGCCACACAGCACCCGAGCGAACGCTTGTTGCGGGAGGTTTTCGTCATGATCTTCGGCAAACAATGTCGGCGGACGGAGAACCCGGAGCTGGCAAGGGACACACCCTGACCAGAAGCGAGAGCAGTGGCTTATTGGCGGCGACACCTGTGGAGGTCGAGGCCTGCCGCCAAAACTCCAGCCTTATCGGGGATGAACCCGAGGCTGCATCGTTGACGGCGGAAGGGGAGGAGCAAGACCGGAGCCGGTTGATATTCGACGCAGCCGTAGCAACAAAGGCGGCAGCAACCCCGTCACATGGTGTCAGCAACGACGACAACGACAACAATGGTAACCACGACGGCATACCCATCCTGCCAGCTACCGTGGCGTTTGAAAATGAAACCCTCGCCGCCCGCAAGAGGTCGGACCACCTGGAGTCCCTGGCAGTCCTGGCCCGTCAGGGGATGTCGGCGCACTGGAATGCGTTTTTCCGCGACGGGGTCGAGCGCACGAGAATGGCGTCGGCGGCGGGGGACATAACTGCCGAGCGATGGGCGCAGCGACAGCGGCAAGCAATCGAGGTTTCGAGAGTCTCTTGGCGAAGCAAGGAGTGGTCATCGGGCAGCTCGACAAGCGACAGTGGTGTTGATGGCGGCGATGGGCATGTGTCTGGTCCAGAGGGAAGAGTGGCAGAAGGCGACGGCGACGGTTGTAGCACCGGAACACAGGACAGTACCAAAGCTGAAGGCCATCAATCCAACGAAGACGGGGAATGGTCTACGGCGACTGGGCTTGGCGAGGATGCAGCACATTCGCCTGAAGAGAGCCAAGAGGGTGGTGATGGTGGTGATCCATGCTTTATTGTCGTGAGAGACGTCGGGGGGTCCGGCAGCAACGAAGCCATTTCGTCAGAATCAGGAACATCAACACCGACAGCAGCAGCACCAGCAGCACCAGCAGCACCAGCAGCTACAACAGACAAAATCATTTTGTTTGTTGGCAGGGCGATGGCGTTCCATATGTCCACCGTGCGGGAGGGTCGAATGGATCACTTCCACGACACCAACCGCCGGCGCTGCTCGAGCGCATCCTTGCCGCCGCAACAAGGGCAGCCGGGACAAAGGTTCGGTTACATTACGCGCCCAGCGCTTATCGGTCGGTTTCCATGCGAGTCTAGCCAACGTGCCCCCCCACCGACAGTGGAGAGTTGAGATACACGTGTTCGGAGGGGGGATTTTAGTAGCTCCGATACGTGCCTGACAAATTCTCCGATGCTAGCAAGCAAGAAGCGGCCTCCTTCGACGCATAGCTCAACGTGATTATCCCATCTCATGCCGCATACCCTCACGGGCATTGTACCAAGCAACGGCATAGCTCAGCTCAGCCGCCGCCGCCGTTGAGTGCCCCCCTTTGTGTTGTCAAGTGACGTCTTCTCCTTTGCCGAGGGACAATTTATGACACCCAACACCGATCGATGCACGACACCCAATGTTGGCTTCAAATATTTCGTCCAAGTGCGACGCACTTCCGTCATGTTGCACACTGTAGACGCTCCAAATACCCCCTTTGCAAGCGCACATATTCACATCTTGGGTGTCGTGGTTTTCTCACCTGCAAGAACGCTATGCCGCCACGTTTGGACCACACGTCTACCACAAATTCCTACATGACTTTCCCTTTTCCGCGACTTTAATCACGCGTAATTGCGCGCCCATCTCTTTGAGGCCCAGCTGTGCCGTGAGCAGCATCGACATCGACGCCCTCGATCCGGACGGCGTTGTGGAGCAATCCAGGGAGGCTGGGTGGCTGGAGGTCCTGGAACATCTGGCCGAACACAACACGGTAGGCGAGACCAGTAATAGCCATGTTCACCCCTGACTTCGTGCTTCAGGCTAAGCCATGGCACTCACTCAGGCTTTTACGTCATACCTCCTTTCTATGTATACCAGCAATCAGCATGACACGAAATATCCCTTGACCGCCGAGTACCCCCTTTCCACCAATCAAAGGTACTTGACTTGGGAGAAGTCGGAGCCACCTTCGGGGTCCTACCCGGAGGAGTAGCGGTGCTGTGCCTAGCCCACGACTGCCTTGTCGAGGGTACGGGCGAGACTCAGGGCTTCGTGCAGATGGATGTTCTTCTCTCCGCCACGTCGGCCTTCATCGCGCTACGCCGGAGCATTCGCGCGACGGCGGCAGCGACTACGACGCCCATGACACCACGATGCGAACCCATCACAGCGCCCGTAGCAGGGGACGACGGTGGAGGTCGTAACACGCTGGATTCCCACCCAGCAGTGCGAGGTGGCAAGGGGAAGGCCGTAGCCCTGGGTTCTGGTGAGCCGCTAGAGATGCAGCCAGTGCCCGAGATAGCGCCTTCCTCGCCTCCGCTAATTTCGGGATCGGAAACAGTGAGGAGCAACGCGACGGCGATGACAACGACACCCACGGTGATGTCCACAACAGTGGCGGCCGTCGCGGAGATGGAAGTTGCGGTGGAACTTGAAGTGTACGGGGACGCGCTCTCCGCCGATCTCGCCAGAGTCTGGCTACACCCGTCCTCGCCTCCCTTCCTTGGTTATGGCCGTGGTACCGTGAGCGACAACGCTGCTGGCGCATCCCAATCAAGGTCTCAGGCTCACGGGTCTTGCTCCCAGTTCCAGACTTGGCGTATCCGGCGAGAGGTGGAGAAGCACTCGGCGGTGCTGTCCCCGCAGAGCGTGTGCGCGTTGACGGCCCTTCTCTCGGCCAAGGGAAAAGCATGGGCGGACCATAGCACCACTACCAACCAGAATTTCAACAACGACGACGGCGTTTGTGGTGGTCGTGATGATTACCGCAACGGTGATGGTGGGGGTTCCCGCGGCGAGGGCTCGTCCCCAGTGGGAGACCCCACCGCCTGGAAGCTGGCGCTCTCTCGCGCCTTGCTCGTCGTGCGCACGGCATCCCTGGAACACCTGACCCTGTGGGCTGACGCGTGCGATCCCGGCAAGGTGGAATCTGCTTGCGCCGCGGACGTATCGAGGGCCGCAATGACGCCAGAAACGAGGCGAGGGCCTGCATCAGGTATGGATAGCGGTGATGCGGAGGCCGCCGCGAGGGTGGCGGGTGACGGCGATGAGAAGGCGGTGGACGGTGGCGGCGGGACCGACGCAGCCTGGGCGGCATTGCACAGGGCGTCGGGTCTCGGGCTCTCCCCGCTCATGATGCTGGCAACCACCTTGTTCGAGGATGATGGCTCGACGGGAGCACCGCAATTGCTTCTTGGCGACCGTGACGGTGCTGCCCGGAAGACTAGTGCTAACAGCAGCGGCGACACTCACGGCGGCGGACACGGTTCCACCGAGCCCGGTAGCGTCGCCAACTTGACGACTATCATGTCACGGTCAGTGCTACGGCTAGTTTCGCGAAACTCCCTCGAGAACGTATACCGACGTCTTTCCCGACACAACGCCAGCCGAGGAGAAGAGGCATTGTCATCATCACCATCAGCAGCAGCAACAGCAGGAGGAGAAGGAGGGGCAGAAGCATCAACCATACAAGAGGGCCTGACCAACCCCGAGAGCAACAGTGAAAATCGGCGTAAACTGGAAGGCAGCTGCGGTTTCGAAACTGAGAACCCTGAAGTTTTGTCGGACGTTCCCGGGCATCCGGCCATCGGAGATCTTTCGAAACTTGACTCGGAGACACTAAGGGGCGGGGCGGAGGGCATAGTGGCGGCGCTGGATGCGAGGGGTACGGGCTGGCTGCCACCTGCTGTGCTCGCCGTGGCTCTGCAGAGTGGAGAGGCAGGTTTTCGGCTAGAGCCCGGCCAGGCGGACGTGGTGCTTCGACTGTCTGGTGGGTCGAATGCTTCCCTCTACAGCAAGTTGGTTTTGTTTTCGTTTCTGTCAAGCCAATATGTGTTTCGGAATCCCGTGGGTTTGTTAGCTACAACTTGTATCCGGCGCCTCCCAGCTTCCCGATACCGACTACATTGGGAAACGTAGCACGCCACCACGCCTACTCCTCAATAGCACACGAAGGCCCTGGGAAATCGTTTCTCTCTCGTGCTCGCGAAAGCACTGGGAACGGTACCACGACCATATTTCTTGGTTGCGGTTGAGAAAATGCACTTTTCCTGCCAAGCACAGACTCGTTCATGCCGAGCATCAACGGTGAGCGCTGCGGTCAGATAGGGCAAGATAGTAAGGCACTATCCGCGGCTGTAGCACCATGTCCTTAATGATCGGTGCCGTCTTTCAACGGGGCTGAAATACACAGGTTGCTGGCCAGCTACAAGCTGCCCAGAGAACCTCCGCCGCAGTGATCAACAGCAAGTTCCCGCTGCTGCAGTGAGAGAAGGACAAGACCTGGAAAAGGCAAACGAGGGCGAGTACTCCTATCTCGGCTACCCCCCACGAACTCAAGCGGTACGCTACCGACCGCTGCTAGACCAACTCCCCGGGCTGCTGCGACTCGTGCAGGCGGCTCATCGCCTGGGGAAAGCAGCGACGTTGCCTGGAGCATTTAAGTCTTCTACGATGACTCTTGGAGGTCAGGCTTGCCTTTTCACACTTCACTGCAAACTGCGCTTCCTGTCGATTATGTTGAGAGCTGGTCGTATGTACCGTGCACGAAGCCGTCATCGTTGCCCGGGATGAACGGCCAAGACCAGTATTCTCTTTGCGGTGGACCAGCATTCTGAAGTTCTAGCGGTGATACTTCCAAAGTCAAGGCCTTTGATCATTGTTTAATTCGCTATCAAGTTCCACAGTCCAATGGAGGGTGTCTGTGAACGAATAGTATTCACCGACATGCTGTTATTGTGTCTCGTCCTGTAATGGAGCGATACTAACCCCAGGCTTGTCGCTGTGGTTCCTCTGTGGGTGTTTGTGTGTTTCGATATTGCGCAGGGGCTCGAGCCATGACAAGTGGTGCTCTCGAGCGCAGCAGGCAAAGCAGGTTCCGATTAAGTATTGAACGAAGTGGGACCGCTTTGTTGACGGCACTCGAGGCCGCTTGCCAACGCATGGGTGAGGGAAGCAGAATCGATCGTGGAAATGTGTGCTGTCGTTGTTGTGGTTGCTGGTGCTGGTGCTGGAGCTGGTGCTGGTGCTGGTGCTGCTGTTGTCGTTGCAGCTAGTGGTGGTCTTGCCGTCGTTGGAAGCAGGGTGTGTCGCTTTGTTGAAGCCCTTGGGGATCTCCATTCACAGATTGACGAGGCCTACTACAGTAAGTATTTCTTTCAATTGCCGACGTTTCTTCTTAGAACGCTTCCATAACCAAATCTACACAGCAAGTGAGTGGTGTAGAGCCCTAGTATTTGTCCTGCAGGATGGGAGCTGAGTAGTGTCTCCATTCCAACCACCGTCCCAAAGTTTGGTAACCCCTCTTGTTTCACGCAGCTTTGTGGGCACTATTGCAGGCGGGTAGAGTTCCTGCATCGCTGATGCCTCCCCATTGGAAGACTTGATGGTCACGACGCCCCTCTGTCCTAAATCACGGATCATCATGACCGAAAACCAATGCAGCGTACACGAGGCTCAAGCTGCGGTCTTCCCTCCTAGAAGCGCCTCGCCTCGAGACCATGCAGCAGCTGGCCGACCATGCCCGGGAGCGCACCTCAAGCGAGAGAAACGCCCGAGAGATCGAGAACGCCCGCCGTGCAAAGGTCCGGAGAACGTTTACCTTCGCCACCAAGAACAAGGTTGAGGTGGCGAGCGGTACGGGGACGCTGATGGTGAACATGGAGAGGGCGAGAGCCGCCGCCACGGGCGAGCTGTTTGCTGCGCTGGGTCTGGCCAAGGAGCAGGTGAGAAGAATATTGGAAATGTATATTCTAGTTGTCCAAACCTTCCGTGAAAACAAGTCTAGCGTACAGTATTTTTGTCTCGCCTCAGAATTGTACGTTGTATCTGAAGAATCTGGATGTTTTGGAGAACGGAGGGGGGTGCTGGAACGAGGTAGAGACTAAGAATCCCATGGATGCTCCACCAAGTTTTCTCTGAATCGATTTACATGTTCCGGAAGGAGTTTCGTTTGGCCCGTTGGAACACGCTAGCGCAAAGAGCCGAATTTGGCCGCGCGAAAAAGAATGCAAGGGTGGTCAGGGGGGCAGGTTGGGCACCAAGTACAACCTAGGGGGGGTAGGTTGGGACGCCGAGGTTGACATTGCACCCACATTTGTTTGAGGGTTTTGCAGCCCGCCGTGTTTGTTGGCATACCATCGCTATCCAAGATGTGGGAAAGCGTGCACGCCTTGGGCTGCCACCTCCCTGTAACCTTCCCCCTCCCAGGTTGTAGTCGGTGCCCCAACCTACCCACAACCTGCCCCCCTGGCCAGCAGTGTGGTTACTCATTGAGTTGACGGTGGTCGTTGTTCGCTCATCCCATTTGTAGTCTTGCTAGCCCCCCACCAATCACAACCGAACTGAGCCTGACTCTCTGTCCGTCAACGAAAACTACCTATGCCCAAAGGTGTTTTTGCCTGCAACCCCAACCCGTGTTAAGAGACAACGGAAACGTCTTGAAGGATGGCGCGTTCAGTCAATCACAGCCGTTTTCAGCTAGATGCTTTTTCCTCCAAGATGGGATCTGTCCTCTCATCCCCCCCCTCGCGCCGTCGCGGGTTGGAACCAACTTGTCGCTGTTGTAATATGTACAGGCCCGGCAACGCTTGATAGATGCCGTTGAACAGCTGAGCACGGTGATGACGGAGGCGGAAGAGGAGCTCCTGAGAGACGAGTCGGTCATGTAAGGTCCAGTGTGCGTGTGTTTGTTGTTGTACAATAGCAGCTGTGTTGTTGATGTCGGTGTTTCTGTGCTAATTGACAAAACAACCAGACCTGGAAATGATCCGGCTGAATGAGTGGCTAGCTTCGCGTGTTAGGTGTGGCATGTAGCCGTTCACTTGTACAATGCTGCATACACGGAAAACGTGAAGCGTTCAAAGCAAGACGTAAACCAACTACCATAGAAAATATCATCAGCTGCTTCCCTATCTTTGTTCCTCCACGACCGCTTGGTAAATGACAGACTACATCCGCGACATGTACATTTTGTTCACTTTTCCTCCCTGTCTTCATGACAGTATTCTTTTTCCTCACTATGCCGAGTACAACACCAACAACATGTATTCCAGAAAGGAGGAAGATAGAAAGGCTCGTGAGGAGCGCGATCAAGAGCCCGAGTGGTGGGGAGAATCGCTGACAAAAGAAGTGGAGGAATCATACAGGCAGGAGGTCAGATGGAGCCGAAGTCTTGACATTTCTTACGAAGACAGAAGCCCAAACCGAAGACAGTTAGTTGTCCAAGAGTATACGGTCTGGACTCAAGATATCGCGATACATTGACGTCGTGGTTTGTCGTGGACGACGTAACCTGCCGTGTACCTACCCGAATAGGTTTTGAAGAGGTCAACAGAGAAATGAATGAAGCCGAAGCAGCCAGGATACGAAAAGCATCGGGTAGATTCTTCCAGGCCCTTTCTCTATTGAGTGCCGGAGTCGAGGTGTGGGTTCTTCGAACGTGCACTACACGAAAAACCTCATTTTCGGCGAGACCAGAACTGCCTGTCACGTCGTACCTTGCAACAGGCCATGGCAGCGCAAGAGGTTGCTGAAAGTATTCTCGAGGAAGCTAGCGCCATGAATGAAACCATGGCGGCCACGTGGGAGGACGACGCCCAATCCTGCAAGGCAAGAGGGGTGGGAGGGAAGAAAGGTTCATGGGATCAGGGACTTGGGGCCAGAAAGGAAATGCCGATCATTGGCTTCACCGACGGGTGCAGGTGCATTGTCGGCGCCCGAACGTCTCGGGAGTGCGCACGCCAAGTACTGTTGTGTGCCGTGACTATGGTTGAAGCATGGCATCTGCTCGTATTGTTCATGCCCCGTAGTGCACTCTGCTGTCTTGTCGCAATCACTTGGAATTTGCTTTATGGGCCCCTTTGCCCTATTGTCCGGAATTTCCTCGTTGGACACCCGAAAGCCTTTAGATTTGTTTGAGTATTTTTCGGAAACAAATTGTTTTTCGAAAACGTAGTGCCCCATTTATTACGGGAAGACAGCCACAAACAGCTTCTGAAGCCGCGGTCTGAAACCTCTCTCTTTCTCTCCTCAGCCCATGAGGACCCCCAAACATTCGTTACTATTTTCCCTGTCACCTGTATTGTCAAAGACTGCCCAGCTTGTGTGTGCCGTCCTGAACCTTCAGTGCACAAGATTTTCATCTATTACAACCAACTTATTGCCACATGAACTTCCATTTTTTATGATTGCTTGATCTTTTGTTTCCTTCAGTATAGTCAGGATGGGACGAGATAATTTCAACCAAACGATGTTGAAAGTTTTGTGGACGAAGGGCATTCATTGTACATGTGTAATTGCTTCCTTTGAAAAAGGAAGCCCACAAAGAAACTTGTTTCTCGAACGTCTTACTGCGTGGTTTAAGGGTTTTCATGTCGTGTTTTCCGTAGGTGGCGTTTGCAAAAACAGGACAAAGGCTCGAGACTGTCATGGCAGAGTTCGAGGAGCGAAGGGTGGCATCCAGAGAGTGAGTGTCACGGCAGTTGTGCTAATCGTGGCATTGTGTCCTCCTGTTGACCACAGCTTGTTGACTTCCTTGGGAATGAACTGATAGTGGGACCAAATGGTATTCTAGAGCTGAACTCGAAGTAGAGCTCCCTTGCGTGAGCTTTAGTCTATACTTGCATTATCAGTCGATCTTCAGCTACTGTACAATAGAAAAGAGTTCACAGAGATACGGGGGTCCCATGTGTACATTGTGCAATACAGATTGGTGTTTTCATTCGTACCGGGCTCCGTCCAAACGTTCACACCCGATACTTGAAATACGACCATCGCATAACCGTTTATGCGCAAACTCGATTCTTTGGGTCGCCTATACCCACAGCCGCATCGAGTTGCAGCATCCAGAACATCGCGAACTACCAACAACAACGACGACGTTCCTACAATAAGGCAATCGTCCTGTCTATTTCCCATGCCAATGGTTCCACTGTTGTTGTTTCTCGCACTGCCTACAAAGCTGCCCGTGTGAGAGCAGGTATCCAACGCAAGAGCTAAGAGCGGCCGATACGTCCCTCCATGTACAAGCCAGCAGCGCTGAGGGCTTCCTAGGGTGTTGTTTTGTCTCTTGCTTGTGCAGTGCTTGGTTTGTGTATGGGAGGGAGACAATGTTGATGTTGACAAGTATTTGCTGTCCAAACCGTCCGGACGACATTGCTTGCGCGAGGAACAAATATATTAGTATCACCTGGGATATCCTGCTGATCACTGGCAAACATGAGGGTCAATACCAACAACAACAGCGAGGGGAACATCAACTGCATCTACAATGGTTCTAGCCAAAACCAGGGGCCCAACATCACTCCCTTCGCCCCTTCGATGCCCTCCCCGCCTTTTTGAGCCGTTTCTCTCTTAACTTGACCTCATCGGCCTTTAAGGTGAACTCATCTCGACACAATCCCTCGACTCAACCCCTCACGTGCGAGCAGCTGCCCCACTCCCAGTGCCACCGTCATACTCGCTCTCGTACTCAGCTGGCCGTGCTCGCTTGAAAATTGCCTGTTCGATTTAACTCGTCGCTCAGGATGATCGGCGCTACGAACCGCGACGCGAACAGGACGTCTCCATCGTCATCCTCCCTGTCGTCGTCGATTTCGTCCCTTCAGATTCAATCGGAGAAGAAGGAGCAAGCAGACTTCGCGGAATCCGTCCAGTTGCGTCATCGCGGCATTAACTTGTGTCGGGAAAATTTGGCCTGGCTCGGTGATGCTACCCACCACTTGGAAGCCGAATGTGTCGACCTCTGCGAACTTGCAGCGGCGTTGCCGGACAGGATGGAGAAGCGCCTTTCCTCGGTGCGGTTGAGAACCGATATTTCGGGGTGACTGGTGGGATCGGCCCTCTATGAAATAATGTAGAAGCACCGGTGATCATCAGGCAGTGCATCCGGATCAATCGACCTGAGGACGTTCGGCATTTCCCTGCCCCTGTTCGAATAGGAGTCGAATGGACTATTGTTATTGTCACCATCTAGACGACTGCACATACTCCGTATGTTTTTATAACACTTTGCAGTTTCGTGCGATTCTCGGCCTCACCGAAAGCTATGCACAAGCAGGCGTGAATAGCGAGCTATTGCTTTACCTGTACACTAGCCTTCTTCCGGTGTCAGCCTTACTATTCAATTCAAGGATGGTGCGGGGTGATCGTGCAATTGCCATTGCGATCGACACTACCGACCAAAAACGGCATTCTTGCTGTTCAGAACGCAGTCCTCCATGATGGTAATACCACAAACAGGTGCAAAACACAGCTCACGCGAAGGGGGTCGAGGCGAGGTCCGTGGTTGTCCGGCGGCTTCATGCAGGATCCAAGTCTTGGGGAGACGAGCTAGTGCAAAGGAAGCAAAGGTTTGTGGTAGGCGTGAGCAATAGGGTTGGTGTGACTCGCCCCCGTCTCCACGGTCCCGGATAAAATCGAGGAAAACGTTCGTCGATCAACGGCAATGTTTTGCAGTCAAATCCACCCTACCCGGTCCCCCATCGATTCGAGTTTCCATGGTGAGGGGTGAGAGGACTGTTCGCAACATCATCTGCGGGTTTCCGTTCGAAAAGTACACAACGAAGGAATCTACGATATTTATCGTCTCTATCGCAGTCTAACAGTAACCCACATAGACTAGGCCCACGTGTATACCGATTCTCCCTTCTTCACCTCAGGTGGAGAAATCTTCGAGAATCTCGGAGGACAAGCTTCGAGCACACTCGTGCAACGATAGAATCCGAGAGAGAAAGGTTCGGACGCCTGGGTCCCGTGGCCTCAGCAGCCCGCACCGTAGTCCTCGCGCAGGCATTGCACATGGCCCGTGAGCCTGTAAACCGGTTCCCACATATCGCTGGAAAGGGACCATTGGCCGTGGAATCCTCCAAAGCCGTTGCCGCTGCCGCTGCCGCCCTCACCCAGTTCGACGATACCGTCCGGTCTATCGTTGTGGAGGCAAGCGGGGGGGACGCGGCTGGAACCGGCTTACGCCGAGGAGGGGGGGAGCCGCTACGGACGGATGGCGAAGAAGAAACAGGTCGAGTTGGCAGCGATGGGGAGGGGGATTCCCTCAACGAGGACAACGGAAGACGTGGTGTTGGGAGCGGAGGACTGGAGTCTGCTGTGCAGCCGTCGGAGAACGAGGGGGGTGAGGGCGAGGCCAAGGAGAGTGGCAGAGGCGGGGATGGAGAAGGGGCGGCTAAACGGTTGTTGGCGATGGAGGCAGAGGATGCAGCGGCGAGAGTATCGGCTTGCCAGACGGCCATAGGGGAGTGGTGGGAGAGGCAGGCAAGGGCCGTGGCGGAGGGGATGCGACAGCGCGAGGAAGAGGCTGCAGACCGCAGGTGAGCCTCTTTGGGGGGTGTTTCATCTGCAATTTCACGCCGTATGTCGCTCGAGCGACGGCTCTACGAGCGTTTATCTCTCTCTGACGGATGTCGTTCGGTCATCTGTGCGCCACGGTATAGAGTGCTTCTGTCGTGGCGTTTGCTTTTGCCGAGAGCACCGTGTGTAGGGGGTGTTAATCATGTATGGACGGCTATTAATAGTAGTTTTTGGGGTTTTGCCCTTGTTTCGCTTCCGCTTTAGCCGATTCCACAGTGCGACAGGGATACAAGGCTACACGAGCCCGGTTGTTGCCTCCTCGAACACAGATTTAAGGTGGTGCAAGGGGGCATGCAAAGAACGCCCAAACCACTTGATGGTCGCCAATTAACTCCGAGGTGGAAAAGCACGGAGGAAAGCAGCCGAACGTCGTGAATATGGCTCCCTCCCCTCGGCCCTTTCAAGGAAACGATCAGAAGGGACAAGTCAATCACGTTTTACATTATTTGTTCACCGTTTGACCACAACCTTCTTTCCCCTCCTTCAACCTGACCCAATGACCTAACGGTAGCCAAGCACCTCCCCCAAACGTTGCGTGTCGAAGCCGGGCACAAGGCGAGTTCTACGCCAGCCCCAACCTTATCCCAAACCGGGGCCTCCTCCTTTCGTCTTGGTCAGGACGAGAAGAGAAGTTGAGCATCTTCTGTCGGAATCCGTCATTGCGGACATCGAAGCCCGGGAAGAGGCCGAAGCCCACGGCAGAAAGACGCTGGCCTTGGTGCTATCTGAGGCGAAGCGAATCGCCAATCAGTTCGTAGACGCACTCAAGTCGGCCGACGCGCGCATCAATGACGCGGCCGCGAACTCCAAGGTATATCTACCGAACAACCCACATCGCTTCCAAGGCCCATCTCCCCGTAGCAGAACAGAAGGCCTTATCGTCCTCAAGACTGACCGATCCAAAACGAGAAGTGCCCCACATGCAGGGCGTATGGATACCATAAAATTCAGCCCTACGCTGTCGAGTCTCGGAAGCGGTATTTTTCTTCCGCAATGCCACAACCCTATCCTCGTTGCCCACAACGGCCGGAGGTCGCGGGCAAGGGACAACTTCCTTGAGGCTTGAGGCCAGACAAAATTTCCACCTGTTCTCGGGCAAAAACATCGTCAGATTTTGGAGTATTCCCACTTACGGGCACGTGTGACGCGAAGCAATGACCGCCGAAAAACTGCCCAGTATTGCCGTTGCTGTGCGTGACCAATGGCCCATCAAGTCATGATGCCTTCCACTTTAGCATCCTCCCATGCCCTCCGTTTTCGGCTTTCAACTTGTGCTCACCCCCCACCTTAAAAACAGATGGCCGTAGGGGAAGAGAGCGAGGTTCTGTCTCTTGAGGCTCAGTCGCTGGCTGCCAGGGTGTCGGCCACGCTCCAAAGGGGTCTGAACGCGGCCACTGAGGATCTCGCCGCTGCGCAGCAGGACAACAAATATCGCAAAAGCAGAACGCTTCTTACTCGATCTCCATCCCGTGGCGGAGAGAAGCCTTCGGATACCCGGATGACGCACAAAGTCCAGTTCTCCGAGGGGGAACAAGGGGACGGGGAGAGCGTGTTCGGCATCAGCTCTGATGAATCTGCGGCGGACCTTGCGCCCTCACGCAATCACCACCAGCATCTGCAGCTTGGAAGAGATGATCCCTCAGGATCAGCTTCGGGCTCCGCTTCGACCTCGAAAAAGAAGAGTCGGCAACCGTTTCAGGTCGGGTTTGGAGCCGGCGGGTGAATAACACTCAATTGGCGTTTATAGTTCTGCGTGCGGTGCTTCGTAACGTGGGCAATAGGCATAGGCCAATTCCCCCCCAAATGATGAGTACCTGCCTGGGTATCGGCACGGACTGTAGGTGTTGGGGATGTAGGTGTAGCACGGCTTGCGCCACATTTGTTTGGTTGTTATTTGAGTCGTCAGCACAGGAAATGAAGTTGGTGTAGTGTATGGCTTTGGGACGGCCAAGGATTCCTCTGGCGTTGTTCCGGTTGGAATACTATTGTCAACTCGATACAATAGCAGAACGCGTCAGCACTTAAAAACCTTCGGCCGAGGCTGTGGTTGTTTGTTCTTAGGGCCATGTTACGAATGGTCGCTAAGTGTAGGGTTCTTAGCCGGGCTCACAAATGGTGCCCAATTTCTAAAATTTTGTTTTTCTTCATGCTGGTTAACTTAACTCCTGAGTTTCAGTGTTGGGGCGTTCTGTGCTTGACATGAGATACATTGCATAGTTATAGATAGAAGAAGTCTGGGTCACTGGTGACCTTAGGATTTAGTCCCTCCGACAGTGGGAATGAAATTTTGAAGGACAAGAGGGCGGCAGAGTACTAATGTCCCCCAGATTATCAACGTAAAAAATAGTTGGCATCTTTACAGCATCGACGTGGAGGGACCGGGGAGAGGCCCTTTCTCGCCAGAGAAGACAGGGTATCGTGCACTTCTTCTGTGATGCCGCACGTGCACACGTAAAGGTGCAACGAAGTTCGACTACGAGATAGGAAAAACAGTCACCATGTCACCATGAATCGCCCCGGTGTACAGAAAGTACGGTGGAGATGGGGCATCCGCTCGGTGAGCGCGACGCACAACGTCGTTCTCGTCGTTAATTTACCTTCCCGCAATTGCCACCCAGAGTGGGGAGGGTACTTCACTCGTGAACATTTTCCATCATTTTCGCTTTTTCTCTAGTCCCCAGGAACCATGGATGCGCTGAGATCAGTGACGAATTGAACGGGGTCGATAATAAACATTCCGGCCGGATATATATTTACATTTAGCACGTGTGGTACAGATCCATTGCTTGTTTGTGTGGGTGGTTTTCGCCCCTCCCTGTGGGCAACATGCCGAGGGACGTTGGAGCAGGATAAACCACGACAAAAATAGCGATGTGTTTGTGTAGTTAAACGAAGTATGTTTGCGATGAATGATACCTATGATCCGAACAGAACGCGGAACAGAACGCAAGTGTAGCGTGCAATGAGGAGACCTTGAAACTCTTGCGTTCTTCATGCGAAATCTTTTTGGATGTACAGAACTCTGCATTATTCGCAGACCTCTCCGTATTCTCTATGCAGCAGTAGTTCAACGAAAACAACAACAATCTCCATCAGGAAGGGACGGGAGAACAACCACCCCGCTCAAAGTTGGCAGTTGGTGTGGGTGTTTAAGATATGACAATGAGGCAAGACCTACTGCTGTGGCCCCGTGACGTTCCGCATCGACAGCAAAGCTGATCGTCAAATTTGCATATTTTTGCAAATTGCCTGACAGCCTGATTTGAGGAGGAGCGCCTGATTTTGCGGAGCCCCGTGCAGAGGTAAACTGGCTCCCTTCCTGATCACGCGTGTGCGATAGTCACACGACTCAGAGAACCCGGAACCCTGTGGTGGACACGATGACGCCCTTCTACTTTCCATGCCCTTCTCGGGTGTCGCTTGTGCTTCTGGTTATTGGGGCGAGAGGCCTCTGTTTGGTGTCCTCGTTTTGTTGCATTGGATCGGCGGCTGTTCTCTCATGCAGCAGCGGCGGAGGCTTCGCTCCAGCAGCGAGGGCTCTTGGAAGGCCGTTGGAGCCTTTGCTGCCAAGGCGAGGCTGGACAGCAGCAGCCGGTAGGCGAGCTGAGACCACGGTGGTTATGCAAATCCACCCCGAGGGCGGGCAGAGCCCGTGCAACATTAAGGTGAATTCATCATATGTCTGCCGCTGGATTTGAATTTCAAGTGGATGGGCGACAATTTGACAGCATCTCGGATGCGGCAGAAAGATTGTTGCCTCGTTACGGCGCGAGGCTCTTGTTTCTGGTGCTGTGTAGAGGGCAACAATGGCATCCCATAGCGTGCAACTACAGCAGTATGCTTCCTGAGGCTGTCTACATTATTCATTTTTTTCACGGTAAGGATGGCATATTGCAGGGTAAATGTCGCTGGATACCGGCCACCAACAGATGGACCTCTCCTGCCGTAACCCGCTTGTACGTTTGGAATCCGTCCATGGCCTGTGCAGCTCAGAACATGACAGCTGCGGCCGACTCCTGAGTTCCCGATAGATATGGGTATGAGTGTACAGTCCCAAGGATTACCCGAAGACGGAAAGGCGCACTTGCAAATCGTGGGCAAGGAGGGGAGGCAGACACACACACAGCTCAGCCCCTTTGATGTACAGGGCGTTACGGTAGCTCTCGACACATTGTTATCCATGCCGCTTCCGTGCAGCAAAGATATGGCATGCTGTTGTTTCCCCACCCCTGGCGCTCCACCCGATGTACCCATCTGCGTCTGCGGGCATTTCTGACGGCGAGAATCGTAGGGAAAATGGATGGAAGTTCGCACCTGTTGTTCAAGGGTACCATACGCCCCAGTTCGAAAGCAGTTCGTCCGGTTGAATCAACAGAAACGAGGGAGATGCGGAATGTCGGAGGAGGGGATCAGCGTTAACAACACGGAAACGAAGCCACAAGCACAAGCACGCACTCCTTATGATAGGAGAATAAACTCCTATCTCATCGACGTTTATAGTAGGACGAGGTAGCAGAAGCCCCACGACCCTACTGCTGCACGGTATGCACCCCGCACCCAGCTCAGAAAGGAGGGAGCAGCAGAGGGAGAAGGGAGGCAAATGCAGATACATGAGTGGGGGGCCCTCTAATAGTGCTGGCGCCCGGAATAGTGCCGGTGTTTTCGGCTGGCACACACTGAAAAGCCAAGTCGTTCTGTATACAAAGTGCCGGTAGGTAAGATCTCGGGACAAGCCCCGGCACTTGAGGGCCCCCCACTGTAGTCGAAAAAAATGGAGTGAGAGGGAGAGACAAAGACACACACCAAGTGAGAAAGAGGTCCTTAGGCAGGCGATGCACCCATTCCCAGGAGGTCATTGGGGCACTCGTTGATCTAAAGACCTGTGCATACCTCATGTCAACGGCATGTACATACTCCATAGCAGTCAACCCTTGTACCTCCTTCCTCGCCTACCCGCTTTTGCCGGTCAGCCCGAGCGTCTGCTGCCCGCGTGAGGTTCATCGTTGGTCCTGTGTCTGAGTTCCCGAACAGCTGTGTCGCCTTTCCCGAACAATCTAATCACCCTCCTTCGACCTCCTCAAGCTTTCGAACGGAGCACACAAGTTGGCCTTCGCCCCATCCTCGACAGCTGCAACAGACCAGAAAACTGAGCCCCCGTCCCTCCACCTCGAAGCCCCTGCCGAGACCACTTCAACTCGATGCTGGAACCATCTGTAAGATCATGATTGTACCAAGCGTGTTGATACGTTTGTTTCTTCTCAACCTTGTTTGTGTGCTGGACACCTATTGTTGATAGGTGATCGGCGTTGGCGGCGGAGGAAGCAACGCTGTGAAGCGAATGATGGAGTCCGAGATCGAGGGGGTTGACTTCTGGTCGCTCAACACCGACGTGCAGGTATTGTTGTTGCTTCTTCTAGCATTGTGTGTGTGTGTGTTTTTTTTTCTTGCTGTCGTTGTGTTGTGTTGTTGGTGACAGCATTTCGCGATGAACGTGTCCAATCTGGGATAATGCCTTCATACCACGGGGATGGGCCGAGTCACGACCACCCTTCCACCTTCTACCGTGGTCTAGTGGGACGTTGACTAATCCGCGTGCATGTCACGTCTATGCCAGACAGAGCTGTCCGTCGGGCCAGCTGGCTCGGCTGCTCTCTCCTCAGGGCAGTTGATGCCGATCACGTTCACCGTAGCTTTGGGCCTTCGATCTGCTTGTCTTAATCGTACAACGCCTCCTCGAACCAACTACAAACGCTAGCTTGACTCTTATTAGTGCTCCCAATGGGACCAATGCTATCCCGCTGAACTTTGGGGTGACCTCCCTTTTCGCAGGCGCTTGGCCGCGTGTACGGAGCCCGCACGATGACCATCGGCAATACGATTACGCGTGGCCTCGGCGCTGGGGGAGTTCCAGATATAGGGAGGCGGGCAGCAGACGAGAGCCGCCAGCAGATCCAAGAGATCGTCCAGGGGACGGACCTTGTTTTTGTGACTGCGGGAATGGGCGGCGGGACAGGTGTGTGCGTTCCCGTTCCTTTGACGAGCAGGGAGTCTGGTTGTTGGAGCGTGACTCACTCGACGAACGTAGCGTTACTTTGGCTTCGATGTGCTTGACAAGAATTTCACGTTTGTTGCCGACAGCTAGGAGGAATTTTAGGGCAGTCGGCTTTGCCCGCCGCCGATGTCCTTGTGCCAGGGATTTAGCGATGCTCTTGGGACAGCGTGGGTGGTTGTCGGAAGCTTCCACTCAGCTCCTAGACGGTGGTACTAGGCATTCCCGTGGTAGTGGCGAAAGTGCCGGTGCCAGCCGTGGGCGTTTCGTTAGAATATTCGAAGTCGTTTCGGGGGTCCCGAGACATTCGCCGCGGGGGTGAATACGTGACGTAACTACTTTGACGACGGGGGTGGTGTTTTTTGGCGTGGCGTTTGGACCATTCCTCAGTTCAGCCTAAGGCATCCTCGTGTTGAGCAAAGCCACACCTTGCTTCAAACGTGTTGTTGATCCCATTTCAATTCTGTATACGTCTGTGCGTAATTTTTACTCGACTCGTGTGGTTTGGGCTTCTCCGAGGTCTAGGCTCGGGTGGTCCCCGTGGTCGCCAGCTGGCTGAGCAACACACTCGAACCTGTTGCTGCTGCTATTCCGCACAGCAGGGGCCACGGCTGTTACATCGGCCCTTGGCATACTTTGTTTGCCCACGGGGTCTTACTTTACCGCCTAAAGTG